TTTGTTTATTGGTTTATCCAGTATTGTAGGTTGTGTAAGGCAAAATTAAAAACCATGAATGGGCACTATTCAACTATTACAACCCCCAAATCTCAAAATTTTAACTTCCGTCGAAACTTCGCGTATAGGGGTTATTCGATGCCCTGATTACGAAAATGACATTCATTTTCGATATTGGCGCCACCTTGGCGCCAAGGCTGTTTTCACCAAATTCGCTGTAAACTTGTATACAGGGGTTATTTGGGGTCCTGATTACGAATATAACATTCATTTTGCCACTGGCGCCTATTTTCCGCTCGTCTGCACCCTCTCACTAGCTAGACGATCAGGACTAAGCCTTTGGGGAGAGGAGGGCTCCGTGGTGAGTAAGCCACTCACCCTGTGGTCTCATACGTTTCAGCCTTTGCCACACAATGCCTGGTTTATCCATTCCATCCTGGAGGCCCCCTTTTCTCCTAAGCTTAGTCTTAGGTAAATGAATGAGTGAGGAGCCCAGGAGAACGAAAAATATGCGTTGAACAGCAAATGCCAAAAACGAATGTCATATTCGTGATCAGGACCCCAAATAACCCCTGTATACAAGTTTACAGCGAATTTGGTGAAAACAGGTGGCGCCAATTGGCGCCAGATGGCGCCAACGCCAAAAATGAATGTCATTTTCGTAATCAGGGCACCGAATAACCCCTATGAGCAAGTTTCGACGAAAAAATTAAAATTTTGAGATTTTGGGGTTGTAGTTGAATGGTGCCAGGAATGATGACGCAAGGAAGTGGTGAGTGGCCAAATTAAATTCATAAGAAAAGTGATTGTTACCCATCTGACTATCCACGTCTAATGTGAGTCTCGGCCGCGTTTGCGGTCGTCTTTTCTTTAGCGCTCATCTTTGCAGTTTTTTTTTGCCCCTGCATACGAGCGTGATTTGTTTATATCTAGACATGATGCAAGACCTGAACTGCTGCCTTTATTATTCCTGGTAGTTTTTAGTATTTTTTCGTAAATCTTAGTACTTCTCTATTCAGGGGTTACAGAGGAGCAGCGGTGCTTTTCGTAATAACACTTTTACTATTAGGACTACAATGAGCCTATTTCCAAAAAAATACTTCCTTTGAGGAGCAGAGGATGCGATGTTATGTTTGTAGAAGTCCAACATTATATCGAGAAATCTGCATTGATGATCACCGATCGAGCGCCGATCCAATCTGGCGTACTTTGTACTTTGTCCCGCGCTAGCCGCCACGGGTCCACTCTAGCAATGATAACTTACTAATATGGACATCTTTTTTCCTAATCAATGATATCATCATTCGGCCGCCTCACATTAACTTTTCTCGGAAGCCATTGTTTCCATCCTATTTACAGACTTGTTCTGTATTCTAATCTCTCTTTGTAGACAGATCTTAGGTGCTTCCTCTCCAAAACGATCATACAGAGAACATGTTCTGTCTGATAAAACTCGGAATCTTGATCGCAGCTTGAGGTGTTTCCAGTAGAAGGTTTTAATTTGAGGAGGTTGCGACGGTTCGTCTTGTCTGTGATGTACCTTTGGAATTGCTCATAAACCTACCATCTCGGCAATTTTTCTCTAACTTTTAACCTTTTAAAATGGAACTTTTACCTTTAAAGCCTGATGGCAAATACCATCTAGGCTAAAGTGTGTACGCCTCGCCAGCCACCACTTGCCAGAATGACAGTCTATGAGATGACTGTAACGTCTTGCACGTGGCTCTATGGGGCGGTTTACGGACTACTTGATTTTTCCTCAATGGTCCTGCCGCGATGGCTAGAGCACAGACGATTAGAGAATGCCCTAGGACTAAGCCTTGGAGAGGAGAGGGACCCGCTAGAGAGCGCAGAGGCGGTAAAGGGCAGAGTTCAAGTAGTCCGTCGACCCTAGGGCTAGGACAAAAAACAAAGATAAACTGTGGCCTAAGACCCTCACTGTAGTCAAGACACTATGCTTCTCGCAGCTTTCGGACAGTGATTTGAAAAAGAGTCTGGTTGATGACGGCTTCGGAGGCTTGCATGCATTCTAATATCTTCGTGTTCGACGTGTGTATTCACATAAAACAAACGTAGTCGAGCTATTTGGAATGACCTACCATTACATTCTAGAATTACTGTGAAGTGCGAACGAAAAATACAGAAACTGTGCCCAATGGGCGTTAATTAATAGCAGTTAGGCATACCAAACAAACTCAAAAAACAATATCTGTCAAAGCCTTACAATTAATCTGTGCCGCCAGCAGCGAGATGTCGGTTAACCCGTCTCACTTGCTGTTGAGTGCCCACAGGTAATCGTAATATAGCGCGGCAAATCTGTCGAGGATGGCGTGCGCACGGGTCCAATTCCCATTTTTCACATAGATCCCCATCCAGCCAATCTTCTTGTCTCGCGGACAATAGGTCGAGTCCTCTACCGATACCATCATACCATGGAATCTCAAATTTCGTCAAAATTAAGCTCGCAATCAACATGGAAAAAGCGCGGAGCCACTTCGAAGAAGCTAGTTGCCCACCGCGAGAAGACCCATGTGTCAATAGCAGAAGTCTCGTATCGGCTTGCGCGGCTCTTTCGGCCCCATAAAATAAAAAAGAAAAATTACTGTGGCAAAAGTCAACCGATGTGTGCACTCCTTAAAAGACTTCATCTTTGCGTGATAGATAGCCAAGGCATATATGCTTTGTCTCATTCGATTTTGTCCCCCTGTATACCATAAAACTGCTAGTGAGTTGGTACCCCTGCTGTGTTAGTTCGTTAGTAAACTGCCCGAATGTGAACGAGTGCGTATCCGGTAATTCCTGCTGGAACGGAAGAGCTTACACCATAAATCCAGCATTCTCGTGATCGCCTTTATTCATCTCCTTGTGAAAATAAACCCCCCTATACCTGAGTTCCGACTACCGGCGATAGCGTGGAATTTTTATTTTTCATCTCTCCCACTCATATCTTGATTAATACCGGAACCCGTAGCTTTTGAGCCTAATGTTCGTAAATAAGTTTTTATCCCAAACCAGAGTTCCAGCTCGAATGAACCGGAACTCTGGTTTAGGATTCCCTTCGACATCAATTTCTGCACTTTCTTTTGCTCTTTTGCCGATCAGTCCCAGTGCAAGTTCTATCACTGCTCGCAATTGCATACATACATGGCTCCTTTAGGAGACAGTTGTCAAGGCCGCTAAGATTCTGCGCGTCTCACTCATGGCGACTAAGACCTCGTCGGTGAGGTCTGTTTTACGACAAACATTATTTTACATGTAACGACAAAATAAGTTACTACACATTTGTCGAAAACCCAGTAATATCTTGAGAAATTTTTAAATCGATTTTCAACGGTGGTACGCATCCACCTTTTCACTGTGACTTGTCTTGACTTTCGATTCGAGTAGCGCCACTAGTGCGACGATTTTCGGTCACCATGTCGGTTAGCCAAGGTTAGTTGCACTACTGAGATTCAGTGGAACTAGAAGAGAAAACGTTGAATACAACCTCTGCGCAATCCTTATTGTGGCTTTGATTTACTCCGATGTTCTCATTCTCTGCTAATTTTCAGTGTTTTAGGAAGTGTAAAGCTAGAACATCAAGGCAATGTCGCAGTGATCAAAATGGACATCGCCAACGCGAAGGTCCGTAGATATTACCGCACCACTCTCTTACCTTTGCGTATTTTTTCCATATCTGTTTCTTCAGGAAAACGTTCTTAATGAAGCGTTGAGCAAGGAGCTTCAAGATGCTTTCGAAAAGGTCAGATCATTATGTCAGATCATTTCACTTTATGCTAATTCTTTCCTAACTTTGATTTTCAGGTGGGACGCGATGAGTCTGTAAAGTCGGTCGTTCTGATGTCAGGCAAGCCAAATAGTTTCATTGCTGGCGCCGATGTTACAATGCTGAAAAACGCAAAGACACCCTCGGATGGATCGAATATTTCTAGGTGACGTCTATTTGCTGTTTCATCAAGAAATGGTGCACGCTTCTCAAACGACTGCTTTTAAGGAAAGCACAGGAACAGTTTGAGAAACTAGAAAAGTCAGGGAAACCGATTGTAGCGGCTATTATGGGAAGTTGTATGGGCGGTGGTCTGGAATTGGCAATGTCATGTCATTACCGAATCGCCGTGAACGATAAGAAGACTCAGCTTGCGTTACCGGAAGTGGGTACTACTATGGTGATCGGTTTGAAATGATCGCAAGCAATGGTTTCCTTTTTAGGTAATGCTAGGACTTCTTCCTGGGGCTGGTGGCACCCAGCGATTGCCAAAACTCGTATCGATTCAGAATGCCCTCGACATGATGTTAACAGGAAAGAAAGTGAAAGCTGATAAGGTAAATTAGTTTTGCTACGTTAGCAAGGAAATGGATAGTTTGGGAAAGTGTTTTATATTTTTTGTTCTTTCTTTCGCTCGTGTACTTTTGCTGGGACTCATGGTAGTCAGTTCTCGATTGAAGAGGGCGTATGTCACGTTATCAGCAGCGTTATCCTTTTTTCGTCCTACTTTGGTCTTTGATAAATCAAACCCATACTTGTGCTCAGGCACGGCTTAATCTAACAGCTGAGGCCCCATCTTTGCTCACCGCAATTCGGCGGTCTCTTTGCCCTAGGTTGTGTCCGGACAGTGAAAGCGCGGGTTCAAGTTCAATGCCGAACGCTAACCCTTAATTCGTCGTTGTCGTGATAGCGACGCCGAAATTACCTCACTTGGAGGAGGATCCGGGACAAGGTCGAGGATGCGCGTCTCCACAGCGAAGAGTATGCCTCTGCGGCCCAGCTGTGTCGTACCCGCGCCGCGGTACACCCACCCTCTCTGACTTCGGCCATAACAGAGAGAGCGTTAGCGTTGAAGAGGGCAGCACCGATGAGAGTCGCATCAATGCGCAAATCAACGGGCAAGGAAGGGTCCCATTTTCGGGTTCTGTTTTTCACTTTCTTTTCTTCATCGCTGCACCGCTTACCACCTTTACTTTGATTTCTAATGGGCTGCATTTTCGACGTAAACTTTGCTTTGTCGCGGTCGTTCAGGCTCGCGAGTGGTAACCAAGGCCCCTACAGCTACGAGAGTAAAATTTCACGTCAATCAGACTTTGATTTTGGGGATACTCATGGCTAAGAAGACGGCTAAAATTTGAAATTGGAGTCGACGCATTGCGATTTATTTTATTGCGGCCTAAAACCTTCATACGTTCCCGAAGTGGAGCGTTGGGATTGAGGAATTGTTGGAGTATATGGACATCGTGTCGTGCCGCATTTTTCTTTGTTGTTTGGACGACGCCAGATTGTGTCGAAATCTCCGGATGACTGGTTACATGACTCATGACAAATCACTTCGTTACCTTTCTTTGTCTTTGAGTTTCCTTGTCTGTTCTGGTGTGGTCTTGTGCTCCTTCTTTCTTTTCTTACTTGTTTGCTTCCTTCGCAATATTGGAAATTTGCAGGCCAAGAAGATAGGACTGGTAGATTCGGTAGTCCAACCGCTTGGAGATGGTATCCTTCCTGCTGCTGAAAATACTCACAAGTAGGTTTCGGCAGTGTTACATTTTGGATAACGTTGCGAATTTGTAGCAATTTTTCAGATATCTAGAGAAAATTGCCGTAGACACAGCTCGCCAGATAGCTGATGGATCGTTGAAAGTGACCAGAGTGCGACCCTTGGTCGAGCGGCTGATGAATAAGGTAACCGCCTTTTTTTCGCTTCGAGTCTTTCATGAGACAAGTGGACTTTCAAGCGACGTTTTCATTGCTCATTCATGAGGGAACTGGAGCTTTTATGTAAAGGAGGAGATCGAGAAATGTTTTCGCTCATTGAATGTATCAATGACCTGATCTGACTTTCGCTATGGTACTTTCAGGCCATGACGAACTCCTTCGTGCTTGACAAATTGGTTATGAAAATGGCTAAAGATAAGGTAGGTTAAAAGAACTGTTATGTGAAATAGTTGTGTTGTTGATGGATGTGTGTCCAAGGTCAAAAGTACCACAGACCTACTTGTTACTTCATCTGCGACTAGAATCGTCACCGTGTGGTGATTTAGGAATGGTGCAATGTTTTAGGTGATGGAAGCAACCGCTGGAAAATTATCCTGCCCCTTCTGGATATCTCTTGAAACTGTTCGGCAAAGGATTGGTTGAAGGACCCTCCTTGAAGCGGGTACAAGTAGCGAGTCGCGAGGTACACTCGTTTGCTGTTTCTTTCATAGTGGCTTAATGCTTCGTCTGTGTGGAGGTACCAGGGTTCTTGTTTGGCTGGTGCAGGCTGTGCGTCCTCGGCGGATAACTCTACTGTTTTCAATTGTAGCACAGGCAGCTCATGCCGCGAGAACTTACTACACTGCGTCCCATAATTATACGTCCACCTAAGAATTTCCCAAAATCTCAGAAATACAGATGTTACGAAAAAAGTCTCCTATGTGACAATGTATCGCATATAAATACGCAATTGCCTATGAACATCAATTTTCTATTTGAGATCACAGGAATTTTTCCCAATAATTTTTGTGTGGGTACCGCAAATAGAGCAACAAATGGCTCCTGTGAGTTTGATTCGTTCAAACAGCAAAAATTGCAGTGTCCCACCTCCAGCCCGTTATCGTGATTTACCTTTTCACTGGTTGCGCTGCGTTCCACGAAACTTTTTTCATTCTGGTGACACATCACTTCTTAAGGGAACAGCAAAATAAAGACTGCTGTTGGATTTTGAGAAAGGGAAAAATTTCGCAGAAACTGTTGAACAACGCAATCGCACCAGATTTGGTCCAGATTCACGCCAAGCTTGAGAATTTTCTCTGGGGGTTTCACATGATATGGAGTTTAGAAGAGCTCTAAAAGTCTCTCATTACTTTTCGATGGAAACAAAGGCCGTGTTACAGAAATAACATCCATTTTCATCCAACGGTGCTCTGTCATCGAATCTTCTTGAGAACTTTATGCCTCAACAGACTTTTGTTTCATGCATGTAAAGGAATCCCAAGATCGTTCTTGATCGGAAAATGTGAAAGACGTTCATTTGTGGCAAGGAATCGTGACGAAAACTGGGCTGATTTTTGCATGAAGGTGCAGCCGAGCCGACTGGAGCAGGGTCCCTTTTTCCTTGCTATGCATGAGTGTTTGTCCGTCTTTCTTTTCAACATTTTCTTTCTTTTAGTAGTGCTCCTCTGAGAAAAAAGCTATTAAGGGAAAGGTAGACGTGAGAAGAGAAACAAACAAATGCCAAAAAAGCAGAAAGGGCAGAAGGGCAGAAGCGAACCTTACTTCAGTCGGCTGGGCTGCACCTTCATGCAAAAATCAGCCCAGTTTTCGCCACGATTCCTTGCCACAAATGAACGTCTTTCACATTTTCCGATCAAGAACGATCTTGGGATTCCTTTACATGCATGAAACAAAAGTCTGTTGAGGCATAAAGTTCTCAAGAAGATTCGATGACAGAGCACCGTTGGATGAAAATGGATGTTATTTCTGTAACACGGCCTTTGTTTCCATCGAAAAGTAATGAGAGACTTTTAGAGCTCTTCTAAACTCCATATCATGTGAAACCCCTGAAAAAATTCTCAAGCTTGGCGTGAATCTGGACCAAATCTGGTGCGGTTCCGTTGTTCAACAGTTTCTGCGACATTTTTCCCTTTCTCAAAATCCAACAGCAGTCTTTATTTTGCTGTTCCCTTAAGAAGTGATGTGTCACCAGAATGAAAAAGTTTCGTGGAACAGAAGTGAAAAGTAATCGATAAAGGTGAGGTGGACGTATAATTTTGGGACGTCGGCTGAGTGGCCTTTTACACAAAAATTATTGGGAAAAATTCCTGTGATCTCAAATAGAAAATTGATGTTCATAGGCAATTGCGTATTTATATGCGATACATTGTCACATAGGAGACTTTTTTCGTAACATCTGTATTTCTGAGATTTTGGGGAAATTCTTTTAGCGTCCGTGGTGTCGTCAGGGTGGACGGTATAATTATGGACGGCAGTGTTTTGGCTTGATAAATATTTGTTTGCAAAAGTAGTTTGGTAGAAAAAAGTGTCGCTTTTACAGTGCTTCGGTGAGCTTACTCAATCATACCAGTCGAAAGCTCTAATTGGACTCTTCAATGGATCTACGGAATGCAAAAAGAACAAATATGGTGAAGGCAGACCTGTCAAGTACGTTTACATGCCATGCTTTTCTGGTTTAGTGCTTTACTTTTGCGTCCGATTGTAGCGCAATCACAACGAAATTAGTAGTTTTGGTTCTCTAGATGTGAGTAACCTTTAACAGCCTTTTACGTATCGCTCAGGGGGGGGGGGACAGATCCCATGCAGTTAGCCATTAATGGCATTTGATCCCCTCGAGCGATATGCCTTTATTCCTAGCGTATTCTTTCTCAGCGTTAATCAGTTTTGCAATTGGTTTGCGCCAAGCATTCCACGGTTACTAATAAGTGAAAAGGCGGCGTCGCGAAAAATGCAGCGTCCGCCTTTGGGTCACAAAACATGGAACAGTTCTATTTTCTTTCAAGATTCAAAAAATTTCTGAGCCTTGTCTCCTATTGGGTTGGAAATGGAGGCGAACGACAAGGTGGTTGAGTTGAAACAATGCCGTCGATTTCAGGGAGGTGGCTGTGGTTGGAGCAGGCCTTATGGGTGCTGGCATAGCAAATGTCACGATTGATAAAGGACTTAGGTGCGTCTTGCTGGATATGAACGAGCAGGTAGGCTATCAGTAGTTATTTGTGCGTATTATATTCATTTCATTCGCCAGATATGTGATGAAAAGGTTTACTTCTCCTATAATCACGCAAAATTGGATTACTCGACTCAAAGATGCTAACCATATTTGCTGTAGGGCCTCGAACGTGGTGAAAACCAGATAATCACTCAGCTCAATGGTCAAGTTAAGCGAAAGAAGATCAACAAATTGGAGAAAGAGCGGTGAGATAAGATTTAGTGAAGTACTTATTGTGGAGAAAATGTCGTACTTGTAGAATGGTCTCGAATTTGGTAGCGTCGTGCGATTACTCGTCCATGAAGAACTCCGATATTGTCATTGAAGCGGTATTCGAGGACCTGGCCTTGAAGCACAAAGTTATCAAGCAGATTGAAGGAATAGTTGGCCCTGTGAGTTCGGTGCTATTATTTTGTTTTGCGAGTAAGTACGATTCAGCGTACTATTAATTGCTTCCCTCATTAAATCACTGCCTTTCAGAATACAATTATTGCGTCAAACACGTCCGCTCTTCCCATCAAGGAGATTGCTAAGGCGTCTGCTCGCCCAGAGAAGGTGGGTAATGAATTGATGTTTCTTGATTCATCTCTTTTTGGTAATGGTGTTACCGAGAAATATATATTCGGGTTGTCTTATAACCGCTTCATACCGGCCCTTGTGGACGGTTAGCTGGCCGGTGATAAGTGTTGATTACGAATCGGCTGATTTAATTTTGTTCTCTCGAAATATCCACAGATTTGGCGAAGAGACTGTGTGCATATCGGCTCAGAAAGATTGTATTGTTTGTAGGGGTGTCCGCGATTCTACGACTCTCCCCATAAAGTATTCATTTCTGCGGAATATCCACTTACGGATCTCGCTTTCCCCAGGTAGTGGATAAATAACTTCGTCGTTTACTCTTATATGATATTAGGTTGGAAAGAAAGTTCTGCAACACTCTTTCTAAAATTTTCTTTTTTTCTGAAAAATTCATAGGTAACATTTATGACTACCAAATGATAGAGCATTCTCAAGGCTTCAATCCACGAGGTGGATATAAGTTCTGCAGTCAGTAGTTATCCAAGAAAATTCAAAAAATCTCGACCACTAGCAAATCCGTACTCCGAGTCACTGTCTAGTACAAATGTCTACAAAACCATGGATTCGTGTCAACGACTGACACGACTGACACTATCTGCAATAGCTTCTAATGGCATGCCGTTCAGCGATACAGCGTGTTTCACCTTTACCAGCGCTTCCGATCTTTTGATATTTTTATAAGAAGCCAGCAGCATCCCTCACACTCCATTGCCGGTAGGGCTCTTACGGAAACTCAACTACAGATTCTTCTTTATGGGCACCATTGTGTAGCTAGAGGTCTAGGCTGCGGAACTCCAGAAGCTGGCCGAAGCAGCTCGTCAGGAGCCCTCGTACCGCGACAATATTCATTTCTTTCATGACATTGCGAATCACCATGATCCGAAATGAGCCCGGTAAGAAATTCTGGAGTGCGGCAAGATTTCTTTCCTCTCTTAGCGTAATCCCCTGGTCGAGCTGTAAATGAAGTGCTACCTATCCTGGACCTTTAATCATCATCTTTATAACGAAATAATCAGACGATCAACTCCAACTCGAAAGTGAGGTCGCCTCCTTTCTCGACTCGCACTCCGCTGGGTTTTGGCAAAGGAGGATCAAGAAATTTTCTGAGCGATGGAGACAAGTGGTGGACACTCATGGTAGATATAAGACCGGTCAGGAGTTGTAACCAAAAAAGATAAAATTAAAATCAAAAATTTGAAAAAGTGTTGCAGGACTTTCTTTCCAACCTAATACCTATCAGTAGAAGAACCCGTTATTTAAAATACTCAGATCTAGCCCGTATCGTTCACGCCTGTTAATAATTTCAGTAAGAACACTACAATATGTGCGGTAAAACATTATCTGCAGTGAATAGACAGTCATGGCTAACACGTTTTTTTTCTTGCTTCGATGAAAGTTTGTAACAGCGCGCATTTGAGTACTTCTAATCCTACTGGAACTGAATTTGCTCACCCTCATTAGATTCCTGCATGAACTTCATAGATATTTTCTTATCCTGATCATTTCTTCCTCTTTTTTGTCTGATTGTCTGTTTTTCTTCTGCTGTCACTACATTTGTTGTTCTTACTTCTGCTAGTTTCTCCCTTGTTTCTCTCCAGGGTCAACCGTCCATTGCTAAAAGTATCAGCGGAGAAGGAAGAGATTGGTTGGCGAGCGTCAAAAGGTCGGGAAGGGGGTCTTGGTTGGGGAAGTTGAATGGGATCTGATTGTGGTAAACGTTCTTAAACTTTCAAAAAGCATGAACGCTAGTGTTGACACTGCTTCTTCCAGGTTTAGTGGTCTTCTTTTTCTGGTGAAATGGTACTGAGAGTAGTCTCGAGACAGAGTATTTTCATTTGAATGGAAGCAGTAGTTTCAGTGTTTCTACTATGTAGATTTTGTTACGGTCACTGTTTCAGGTTATTGGTATGCACTACTTCTCACCCGTGGACAAAATGCAACTCCTGGAGATCATCGTTCATGACGGAACTGCAAAGGAAACGCTAGCTACAGCCGCACAGCTTGGTTTAAAACAGGGCAAGCTTGTGGTTGTTGTCAAGGTAATGATTGTTTTCCGATGCGTTTCGTTGAGCTGTACTGCATTCTCATTGAAAATGATTTTCAGGATTGTCCCGGATTCTTTGTTGTACGTTGTCTTGGTCCAATGATGTCAGAGGTAATCCGAATGTTGCAAGAAGGTGTTTCGCCCCCGGCCTTGGACAAGCTCACAAAGCAGTTTGGTTTCCCTGTCGGAGCAGCGACATTGGCCGATGAAGTGAAGTGGCTCGAATCATTGAAAAGGATTATATAAGTTTCTAACGAGGATGTGTGCCTTAGGTTGGACTGGACGTATCCGCACACGTTGCACAATTTCTGGGTCAAGCGCTAGGACCAAGGGTTCGCGGTGGCTCAGCAGATTTGCTGTCTGACATGATCAATGCCGGATTCAAGGGCAGGAAGACGAACAAAGGTTTGTATTGATATACATTAAAGGTTCCTCAGAAAGCAATGGAACTCAGGGCAAAGGAGAGCCAAACCGTATTAGATGTGTTCATGTGCGCAGTCAAATGCACTGTTAAAATTGCTTTATGTGTGGCGAGTTTCACAAAAGCTGTGAGACCTAACAAGGAATAATTTTAGTAACCAAGTATCTGGGAAGACTGAGACTTATTATTA